TTCTCTGAGAACTGCGCTATTCTTGGATGATTATTTGAATCTGCTCGCTAGATACACCAATTTCATAGCTCTATTCTGAAATTATGAAGCGCATTATCAAAGATATATTCCCAGTCAGGACGAGGAGTTCGTGTTTATGAGCCTTCTCAGGAGCTCTCAGATGCTCGGTAGGAAGATATGACTATTCAAGATTATTATGGCTATTTGACCTAGTGCTGGCTTGAGTATGAGACTCTGTGTCCTCCTGCTACTATTCCGAGGATAGAGCCTGAGGGAGCAGCATTCTTGCATACTCGAGAACAGGAAGATAGGATTCACAAGTTCCTTATGGGGCTTCGTGATGAATTTGAAGGACCTCGTTCCCAGATCTTATCGATGTTGACGCTTCCTTGTCTTTATGAGGTGTATGCGATGATTGAGCAGTATGAGCGCCGCATCCGTATTGCATCACTTCCAGTTGCTGCCTTGACTCCTCCAGCTGATCATATGACCCTTGCAACAGCTGTAGGGTCTCGTTCAGGATCCTCAGTCAGGGGTGGGTAGCGCTCGGACCAACGCCGTCAGGGTGCCCCAAATCAGCACAGACAGGGGGATTCTCGTCAGTGTGATTATTGTGGCCGACCAGGACATCTCAGAGCTACTTGCTGGAAGCTCCATCCAGAGCTTAAACCGTCTCCTCGTGGTCGTACTGCTACTATTGCTGAGGTACCACTATCTACTACCGCAACTCCTCCTTGGCAGAGTGATATAGAGGCTATCACTTCTCGATTAGATATACTTATGTCTGCTCTGACATCTCAGAGTCCGACTACTACTACTGCCACCACTGCAGGTATGCCTCGTGCCTTTAATACTTGTGTCAGTCTGTCTCCCCTTTGGATGTTAGACTCGGGTGCGAATGGTCACATGACAGGTGAGGCCCATCACTTCACCATTTTTGACGAGCAATTACATACACAGGTTCAGTTAGCAGATAGGATACATACCCCTATTATTAGTGGGGGTACAGTTCGCCTCCCAGATGGCTTTACATTAAGTTCCATTTTTCATGCGCCAAAGTTGGCCATGAATCTATTATCTGTACATCAGTTAGCCAGAGATTTTCATTGTGCGGCTGTGTTCTTATCTAATTCGTGTTATTTGCGGGACCTGAGTACTAGGAGAATTATTATCAGGGGATATAAGAGAGATGGACTGTATTTTCTAGGCGATTCGCCTCCAGTTTCACTAGTTCCTCCACCTACATCACCTGCACCTGCTTTATCTTTATCTGTTCCTATCTTGCATGCTAATATTTTACCTAGTAATTGCGGTTATAATTTTTCGTCATATAGACTGTTTAGTTGTGGCATGACCGTTTTGGACATACAAATTTTAAATATTTATGTATGTTGTTTCCTATTTTGAGCAATGCTTGTGTTGGTAGTAACCTTGACTGTGTTATATGTTCTCTATCAAAACATGTTATGACCAGTAATATTCCTCGCATGAACCAGTCACTCAAACCATTTGACCTAATACACTTTGATATTTAGGGACCCTCTCCTATTACTGCTCTATCAGGTGTCTGATATTATGTGACATTTATAGATGACCATACCCGTTGTACTTGGGTCTACTTTTTGCAAAAGAAGTCTGATGTACTCCCTATAATCACTCAGTTTCTATAGATGATTAAGACACAATTCGATGTCATTGTTCGTGCTCTTCGTTCAGACAATGCTAAGGAATATGTGTCTGATGCCTTAGTGTCTCACCTTTCTTCTCAAGGTATCCTTCAGCAACTCACCTGTTCATATACTCCTAAGCAAAATGGCGTTGTTGAAAGGAAAAATAAGAATCTGATAAGGATAATACGTTGTATGCTTAGAGACATGGGGGTGTTAAAATCTTATTGGCATTTTGCTGTTTTGACTTCTACCTTTCTGTGTAATCGTATGCCGAGTTGTGTTCTTCAGCATAGGGCTCCCTTATAGGTTTTATTTCCTGAGCGAACACTTTTTTTAATCCCCCCTCGTGTTTTTGGATGCACATATTTTGTTCAGGATCGGTCTCCTACTGGCCATAAACTTGATGATAAAGTAATTCGTTGTGTCTTTGTGGACTATTGTAATCAATTTAAAGGGTATCGGTGTTATGATCCTGTTAGGCATCGTATGTATCAGTCTAGATGTTACCTTTCTTGAGCATATTCCTTATTTTTCTTCCAGTCCTGTGTCTGCCCCTCCAGTTGCTGATACTTCCTTTGATTTTTCATTACCCCCAGAACCAGAACCATTGGTCACTATCACTACAAAATCATCGGTCTCTCCTCCTCCTGAGCCATTCATCCCTGGTACAGAGTCACCGGCCTCTCTTCCTTTGCAAGTTTATGTTTGTCGCCCTCGCTCTCATCCCCCCGCTGATGTCCCCTCTACCTCAAGCGATGCAAGTAATACTTCTCAGTTTGTTGAGCATATTAATGCACCTGTTATTAGTACTGATGAGATTGGAGATACTAAGCCAGTTGTTTTACCTGATGAGACATTGTCAATGGAGGATGATGATTTAGAGCGTCGTTATCCACAGCGTGATCGTCATCCAGTTGTTCGTTATGGTTGGACTGCCAAGATTTTATACCCGATCTCTGCTTATTTTTCTTATGGTGATCTATCTCCTACATTTCGGACTTATAGTATGGTCTTATCAGATACACCGATTCCTCGCTCTGTTTCAGAGGCTATGTAGGAGCCCTAGTGGATTCTTGTCATGCAGACAGAGATGGACGCTCTTTAGCGTAATCATACGTGGGATCTTGTCTCTTTACCTTCAGAGGTGAAGCCTATTGGCTGTCGCTGGGTTTACACCCTAAAGTTTCTTGCGGATGGTACTATTGATCGTCACAAGGCTAGCCTTGTGGCGAAGGGCTTTACTCAGGTACCAGGTCGTGATTTTGATGATACCTTTGCCCCCGTGACAAAATTGACTACTGTTTGACTAATTATTTTTCTGGCTGCGGAGTACTCTTGGCCTCTTCATCAGTTGGATGTGAAGAATGCATTTCTTCACGGTGATTTAGACGAGATTATTTATATGGATGCACCACCGGGCTTTCGTGGTGAGGGGGAGTATGCTGGAAAGGTATGTCGACTACGTAAGTCTTTTTATGGACTGAAACAGACACCACGAGCCTGGTTCTCTCGCTTTAATAATGTAGTTGTATATTTAGGGTTCACCAGATGTCATTCTGATCATACTTGCTTCATTCGACAGAATATTTATGGACAGTGTGTCATCTTTTTGATATATATTGATGATATTATTATTAATGGAGATGATATTTTTGGGACTGCACAAGTCAATGTAGACCTTGGACAGGCCTTCGATATGAAGGACCTTGGATTTTTGCGATACTTTCTTAAGATTGAGGTTACTCGTAGCAACAGAGGTATTATTCTTTCTCAGAGAAAGTATGTTTTGGATCTTCTCTCAGACACTGGGATGTTGGGGTGCAAACCGACATCATCACATATGATTCCAAACCTGAAACTTACTGCTGAAGGTGAGGAGTTAAGAGATCCATCTGTCTATCAGAGGTTGGTAGGTAGACTTATCTACCTAGCCAACACTAGGCCAGACATTTCATTCGCTGTCAGCCGAATTAGTCAGTTCATGCACAGACTATATCAGCCTCATCTTGATACAGTTTATCATATTCTACGATACCTCAAGTCTTGTCCTGAACTTGGATTGTTCTATGCATCAGGATCTCAGACTGGTTCTCTAGCCTGTTATTCAGATTCGGATTATGAGAGAACATGTGACGGTCGATCTACTACAGACTTCTGTGCTTTTTAAGGGACTCAACTTATCTTTTGGAAGAGCAAAAAATAGTCAGTTGTCTCTCGCTCGCCAGCAGAGGTAAGAGTATCAGACACTAGCACTTGGCACATGTGAGATTATCTACCTACGATCGATTCTTGGCGAGTTGAATTTTTCAGTGACTTCTTCATCTACATTATATTGTGATAATCGATCTGCTATTCAGCTTACTTCTGACTCTGTATTACATGAGAGGACGAAGCATATAAAAATCGATGTTCACTTTCTTCGGGAGAAGGTTAGTAGTAGTATTGTCACTTCATCATTTGTGAGGACCAGTGATCAGGTTACGGATGTTTTTACCAAACCTGTCACTCTATCCATTTTTCGAGACTCTGTTGACAAGATTGGCTCAGTTGACATTTTTGTGTCTAACTTGAGGGGGAGTGTTGGAGATATAGCAGCAGCCTAATTTATTAGAGCTTATTAAGTTTTCTATTTTTACCTTTTTATCCTTATTGTAACTTTCATTGGTTATATATATGAGGTTCTACACTTAATTTGTATCCCTTTTCACTCACGTCTATTCCAAGTGATACACCTTCTACGTATCCAATAATAATTAAATATTAGAATACTCACGGATACTTTTGTAGTAGAGCAACATGTATAATTTTTTAATTGAACTTTTAACATCTCTTTTCAAATTCACATATTATACAATACATTAACAAAAATTTCATATTACTTCAAAAGCACATGAGTGTTTTTTAAGTATTATTTACAATTATATGTCAAAAGACCATAGAGTAAAGCTATTACACTATAATCTTAGTAAAAATTACTTCTAAATACTAGGTAAATATTAGCTTTGATTCTTTTAATTAGTCACTTCACTTTGTGAATATACCATAGCGACACGATATATATATTCTTGAAACTAAAAGCAATTACTAATTTTCCTGATTATACGTTAAAAAACAACCAAAATATATAAGTGTTAAGTTGGTTAAAAATAATAAAAATATTAAATATATTTTATTATAACCGTATCCTGGTCATACCCGTATCCTACTTTTTTAAACTTTGTCGTATTGCCGTATCTGTATCGTATCGTACCCATATCCCGTATCCGTATCCGTGCTTCATAGCTCCTTAATGATGCAATTTGTAGTCTAGGTGCCAGAGAATATATATTGTCAAATTGCGAGAGACAAAAGAAAAACCTGATGGCATTCTATTGTTGATGTAATGACATCCCTGAAGGACGAAATTGGGAGCCCAGACCTCTGTTCACTAATCTGCAATGCGCAAACTCACAATAAAGCTTCACTCTAACAATATTTGAATTAGTATTCCACCAAAATTAGATCTGACAGAGGAAACGCTACTAAAGTCAAAAATCCAACCAGGGGAATCTAAAACACAGAACGTAGTGCGGTAGCACAACAGAACCTGTCTCAAGTTCGGGGTCTTCTCTATTCTAGAAGCAAGTGATTCCAACTTCTTTGCTGTTTCAGCCATGTTCAGTGAAGGTTTGCAAAATATATCTTCTTTCTTTCTGTGTGGTTTTTGAATTTTTCCACCACCTTTTTTAACCATTTCATCACCCACCTCTCGATCATCAGGTGGATACCGAGTAAATAAGTCGCATAAAACCATTTTCGCCTCTTCTGAAAATGTAAAAGAAGTGAGGTTTCCCTTCCCATTCCTCAAGTCCACCTTCCTCTTATTTTTGTACACAGAAACACAACGTTGATCCGCACGCCTACACAAGCTCAGGTTCATAAGAAACTTTTTAAAAGTCAAACTCTTGCCTGACTAACAAGACTATAACTAAGAAAGAAAAGACTAAACAAACTAGCACCAACTATGTACAGGAAAAAAAACTAATTGCATATCAACTGTATTGATTCAAATTTTCAGATGCTCTTGGTGGCTAATAGATGAGATAATCAGAGACATAATTACCCTTACCCAGAACTTTTGGATCTCATACCCATTTTCTTACACAATTCATGTACCACAGCACGATCACTATTTGTCAGATTGGCTTCAAATGTGTACACTGCAGCAAAATTACAAAATATCAGGGCAGATGTATATACAGAGTATTTATTCCCTCTTCTAATAACTACCTTATGTAATAAATGAAGCCACAGTACGATTTAGAGAGTGCTACAAACATCTACTTCCTAAATAAATTTGGGACAACTAGTACGTGCTAGTCATCTAGCATTTTGCAGCACAGGATTATAAATGTTATATATGTATTTTAATTGACATAAGCAGTTGTGGCGGACTTATTCACAGAAAAAGAAAAGTGATCTTATTTCTCTTGCAGCTAATATTAATTTGTCTTTATTTTAGTTGGATTTTATAAAATACCTTCTTACACGATGACTTGGCTATAAAAGTTTACATGGAGTAACCCCTGGGTTTGTTGATCAGGGAGTGTAGTGATCATAGTTTGCCTCTACGGGTACGCGGTACAATAATTCTTCCGGTATGTGGAGCGGTGGGGGTAAGCTTAGCTGGTACGCTACTACGGGTTGTGATTCATTTTAGTATCCTTATCTGGGTATTTTCATTGTTATGATAAATTATATATCATCATATATCTTTATAGGCATTAATGATTATTTTATGTTTTTGATAATTTACACTAATATATTAGTTATATAGAGTTCAACATAGCTGAATGTATAAGGTTCCATGCATGGGGCTGTGTTGCTGCTTGAGTCTATCCTGGGGTATTTTGACTTTTTCATGCAGCTAATAGCTGCCCATTTTCTAAACTAATATAACCTAGGGTATAGTTTTGACTTTCAACAAAACACTTTCTTTAGATTATAGGAACAAGGAGACTGTAGGACTGTTTAATATAACCTAGGGTATTTTTGACTTTTGTATCCAATTCATAAACTGCCCTTCTGCCTAGGTAAATATAAACTAAGGGGATATTTTTGACTTCTCACCAAATACTTTCTGTGATAAGCACAAACAAACTATATGCCCGCACCAATTACTTCACATTTCGGAATCAAATTGAGAGATACATGCAAACTACAGCCCGCCTTCTCTCTTTACCAAGTACCATTAACTACTGAAGATCTGATTTGGAGACTCATGCCAGGAAGTTCGAAACTGAGATGAGATAACCGTCAATCGAGGGAGAAAGAAGCCCTGTCTGTTCGACGCTCTTCGATCTAGATTTGTAGCTCTTATAAAAATTACATGTGTTTATTTTTCCTTCTTCCCCCTTCTTTGTCTATTCTCTGTTATTGTGGAACAATTTGAGGTTAGAGTTGGAGTTGGAGTTGGGGCTAGGGTTTTGATTTTGGAGAGGTAGGGTCTTGTTTACGTCATGATTTTTGGCGATTCGGGTTGCAAATGTACCCTGTTTGGGGTCCTGCAACCCAGATCGGGGTTGGGAGGGTATTAAGTGAATTCATGTAACATTGATCGTGAAAGTCTGTCAGTCAAATAATGTCTTATTCGGCAAAAAATAGTCTCTGAGAGCGTGGTTCAAAAATTTTCCAAGGCAAATTTGGAGTACAGTCTTTGTTGGAGTTAGAGTGAACATCTTGCATACCACCATCACACTAATGCATGTTACATCATGCTTTTAGTTTAAGAAAATGATATTTTATCAGTCAAGATGATTTCGAGGGAATTACTAAGCTAAAGGATTTTTCAGTAACATCGATTCCATACCAATGACTTGGGAAAACTTAGATGTTACAAGAGTATCAAAGTGGATAGGTCCAGAAAGGGTATCAACTTACCTTCAACAAAATATGCACTTAACCTATAAGGCAACCGACCAGTTTGATCTTCCTATGCATTTGAATCACAAACCTTCGGTAGAATATTGTGAAATATTTGGAGATCTCACTAGATATTGTAGGTTGGTCAAAAAGTTGACCTACCTGATTACTATTTTGTCTAGTATTGTATATGTGGTTAGTGTAAGTCATCAAGTTGATTCTTGGATTTATTGAAGTTAGTTGTTTGCTCAGCTATCTCATTTTCCAATTTACCCATGTATTTTCAAAAATGTTTTTTCCTACTCCATTGAGGTTTTCATAAATAGAATTGGGTAAATTTGGGTTATAAAAAT